TGGTGGTACGCTTACTGTCTAGCAGCTCCAAGCCTGTCTCCTACACCCATCTGCTCTGTGACCCTGGGCCAGGACTGCCGAACTACATTTCCCAGGCTTCCTTGCTGGCTGGCTTCCAGTTATGTTCCAACAAAAGAAGGTGGAAGAAGGAAAGGGACTTCCTTCCTGTTTCTACCTTCTGTGGGCGTCGCTCCAGCATCCAAGGGCAGCTTTGGCTCCAGCCTCCAGCTCCTTCCGACAGCTCACGCACCAGCTGTGCTGCACCCCTCAGTAGTACCAGCACCAGCTGACCGCGCCCGCCGCCTGGTCTGAGCACGGGCCATACCAGGGCCTTTCTTCCCAGTGCCTAAATTCTGCTAACCCCACCTTTCCCTTTTTGTAACCCCGGCCCTAGGAGTGGGAACTGCTTCCTGCATCCCTCATTGCTCTCTCAGCCTTCCCGTACCTGTGTAACCAATATTGTGTATTAAGCTGCCTCTGTTTGAGAAATGAGCCTGGCTTCTGATTTCCTGAAAGGGATGCTAACCAATTCCATATGGCTGGAGACGCATGTAGATGAAAAATGCTTAGGATGTCAGCCAGAGCAGCATGTTGCAGCCGTACGCTTTGCGGTTGTATCAAGATTACCCAATGAAGCTTTTTTCAAAAGATGCCTGCTAACTACTTCCCTTAAGAACCATGATCCTCAATGCATAGAGAATACTGGAAAGGACACGGGTTACAGGGGTCAGGAGAACAGGAATGAAGGACGTTGTCCTCCTCTTGGCTCCACCTCACCTATCTATCTATCTAACTGCAGGTTCATTTGCATCAAAGTGTTAGCATCATTGTATGCAAATTTATCTCTGTGATTTCTACCCTCTTAGATCCAAATATTGACAAATGTCACCTTTCTTACATGGTATCTAGGGTCATCTAGTTAAATTTATGAAGTGGCTTTCCAAAACTTTAAAAGAAATTGCAGAGTACTTAAATCTCTGTCTTAAATAAAAATTGAGAAAGCCCTCAGGTGATAAAATTTAAGTATATTTGGCTAATTGTGATTTTATTTATTTATTTATTTATTTTAGAGACAGCGTCTCACTCTGTCACCCAGGCTGAAGTGCAGTGGTGTCATCATAGCTCACTGCAGCCTCCAACTCCTGGGCTCTAGTGATCTTCCCATGTAAGTCTCCCGAGTGTGCCACCATGCATGGCAATTTTTAAATTTTCTTGAAGAGATGGAGTCTCTCTATGTTGCTAGGCTGGTCTTGAACTCTTGGCCTCAAGTGATCCTCCCACCTCGGTCTCCCAAAGTGCTGGGATTACCCGGCTACTCCTTCTCCACCAAAGGAGAATACTAGTAATAACAACAACTAATTCTAATATATTTTTGAGCTTTTCTTATGCCAGGCACTGAGCTTAGAGCCTTACATATATCAGTTAATATTTACTACCGCTTGTAAAGGACTGCATGAAATAAGGACTATTAGTATTCTCATTTCCAGATGAGGAAACTGAGATGCAGAGAAATTAGGTAATTGGTCTCTGTTCACCTAGGTTATAAAGTAAATGGGTGTAATATTAGCTATTAGGTATGGATTAAATTAAAAGTGTCAGGAAAGGCTTGGAAATTCTGGCCCTAAAGAGGCACAGAATGGGACGGAGTCCAAGATCCTAGAATTACATATTTTGGGGACTAGTATGGAAATTAGATTTCTGTATAAAGAAATTCGATGAATATTTTACATCTTTCAGAGTAGTTCTGTCTTGCTAGGTGAAAATAATAATGATAGAAGTTGGATTTCATCTATGTGAATACTTCATTCTAAGTAAAAATTATTTTGGAAGTAACCTCTAAGACCAACCAGTCAGTTGGATTTGTAACCTGCTCCATGAACCCCTTAACTAACTACTTGACCCTTTGACTTATTTCCTAGAAGTGATGATGGCCTGGGAGTCCTGGTCTCAAGTGATCCTCCTGCCTCCACCTCCCAAAGTGCTGGGATTATAGGCGTGAGCCAGCACAAGGGTCTGAAATGATGGATTTTCTACAAGACAAAGGGGTTAAGGTTCTGAAGTCCCCAGAGCAGGATTCCTGATGTCAAGATTCACCATCCCCACAACCTGCCCCCATGCATAAAGTGCCTTTTGAGATACACCAATACCAGCCCCAACACACATGCCCCCTTGTTTAAAAGCCCATGATATCCCTTAGTTGGAGAGATGGATTTTATGCAGCTTCTCCTGTTCTCCGGACAAGACATACGTCCTATTAAAAATTCCTTTCTTCCTTGATAATCCTTGTCATCTCAATAATTGGATTTTTGCATGACAAGCAAAAGGACCTAGACTGAAACCCCCTTGCAGTTTTTTCTTTTTTACACTTATTATTTCGCATCAAAGAAGCAGTATCACATGGTTATTTTAGGCATCTAAGCACAATCTGAGCTTTGTCATCATAAGGTGGGTGATCTTGGGCAAGTTACCCAACCTCTCTGCTCTCATCTGTAGGGTAGAGATAACCATAACACCTATGCCATATGGTTGTCATAGGGCTGAATATAAAATACTCATGTAAAGTACTTAGTACTCTGCTATAATTTATACAGCATGCACAATGATTGGAGGAAGAATAAGAACAGTTTTTTGCTTACTGAAACGGCCATGTAGTTCAGAAGTAAGATAATTTCTGAAGCAATACTTCTCTCCCCAATATTCCATGTGAATTTCAGAGTAGTTCTGTCTTGCTAGGTGAAATTAATAATGATAGAAGTTGGATCTCATCTATGTGAATACTTCATTCTAAGTAAAAATTATTTTGGAAGTAACCTCTAAGACCAACCAGTCAGTTGGATTGATAAACAATTATCTTCAAAATAGATTGTTAAGTGAAAAAGGGCAAGATTTAGAATAATGCGAGACACATGCTAACATTTGGGGGGCAAAAAAATAAAATACATACTTTCTTGAATATGCACAAAATATCTCTGGATGGAGATGCAAATGTTGATTATATTGATTTCCTCCGGAAAGGAGACCTGACTTGCTATTGAACAGGAACAGGAAAGAAGCTTGTGACTCTGCACCTTCCTATAAGTTTAGAATTTTGAACAATTGGAATATCCTACCTATTGAAAATAATACAAAGTAAAATAAGAAAGAAAGAAATGAATATTGAGAAAGTATAAGCAAACTAACATTCCTCAGTGTCAACTTAGTGCCAGATAGGAAGGTCGATTTTTTTATTGTGATAAAATTTTTATAATATAAAATTTGCAATTTTAACTATTTTAAGTGTACGGTTCAGTGACACTATGCACATTCCCATTGTTGTGCAACCACCACCGCTATCTACCTCCAGAATTTTTTCATCATCCCAAACCGAAACACTGTACCCATTAAACAATAACCCCCATAGGAAGCTAGATTTTTTTTAAACTCAGTTTTCAAAATAATGCTGTAAGAGATAAATGAAGAAATAACGGCTCTGATCGATTAAGTAATTGCCTAGGACAACACAGACGACCAACCTCTGCTCTTCCCCAGTCCTCAAAATCCTCTGGATGTCAGGAGGAGAATTAGCTTCCAGTAGAAACTTAGAGAGATGTGGGGTAGGAGCTGGCCTTGGCCACTTGTCTCCTACAGTGTCATCTACTCCCAAGCACCAATGCTACAAGTTCTTTTAGGAAACTTGGCAACTTGTGCAATGGTAACCTGTAGGTTATAAGAAAGCATTTGGCTCATTGTTGCTAAAGAAAGATCAATTGCCCTTTAAAAGTGGACTTTGCAGATCCGACTGTAAAAATACACTATCGTTTTGAGAATATACCCCATGTCTGGCTTTTAGATGAGCCTTAGAGTTGGTTGTGTGGATAGATTTGTTGCACCCCAAGTCGAGAAGTTCTTATTCAAAAGGCACCTGCAGAATGATACAGCACAACAAAAGTGGGGAGAGAGAATGATTCTTCTGCTGTGATGGAAGGAAACTTCTAGCAGGATAACCCAAGCCAAACAGATATAAAAAAAACAAGCAGCATCAGTTTGATCTTATCTTTGAAAAGCAGGAAACAGTGAACAGAACTGAGAATCCTGCTGAGTTTTCTACCATTTTTATGAAATGCATGATTAGACTGAAACTAATGCACATTCTTTCCTCGTGGTGCCGTGATGTGAGTTATGTTCTCCGCACCATCCGTGCCTCTGGTCTTTTTCTCCCTCACTCCCGCATCTTTGTGGAAGTGATTTACATTTTTGTTCTCATATGGTCAGTCAATTGTGTTGAACATACTGTAACGCCACTCGGTGACCCTCATTATTCTTGGATCCCTACTCCTTTTTTGTGAATCAAAACGTACATTAGGAATTGATAGCACCTTATGTTCGATTGTGTTCATGTTCCTGGAATTACCCTATAGTTCGAGTCACACATTCCATTTAGAGAACAAAAATCATAGCTACTAATAATGTCTACAGACAAAATACCTTCCTAATCTCCATCACATTTAACCACATAAGGAGTCCAGAACCAATTACTTAAAAATCTGGTCCTACATACAGATACACAATCCAAAATGGCAAGAGAGGCCGGGCGCGGTGGCTCACGCCTATAATCCTAGCTCTCTGGGAGGCCGAGGCGGGCAGATCACTCAAGGGCAGGAGTTCGAAACCAGCCTGAGCAAGAGCGAGACCCTGTTTCTACTAAAAATAGAAAAAAGTAATTGGCCAACTAAAAATATATAGAAAAAATTAGCCGGGCATGGTAGCACATGCCTGTTGTCCCATCTACTTGGGAGGCTGAGGCAGCAGGATTGCTTGAGCCCAGAAGTTTGAGGTTGCTGTGAGCTAGGCTGACACCATGGCACTCTAGTTTAGGCAGCAGAGTGAGACTCTGTCTCAAAAAAAAAGAAAAATAAAAATGCTAAGAGAGCAAATCTCTTAGGGGAAAAATATGTGCAACATTTCTTAGTATTTCTTAGTTTTGAGTTCCCATTTCAAAAGACAGAAAGGGAGGCCATTACCTGTATTCCGATAGACAGGCATCGATTTTTCTTAAAGTGGTCCTTCTTTCTGTCCTCCGTGGTGACCGTGGCTATGGTGGTCGTGGTGGTGACGGTGGCAGTGTTATTGCCCATGTGTTGACTTGCGGGGCCGTGGATCTGGGCGTTGGCAGCTTCGATGGCAGCTGTCAGAGCCTTCATACTGTCCAGGCTCTCCGTGGAGTTGCTGAGTCCAGACTGGCTGACAATATCTCCGCGCTGGCCCTGTCCATCCATGTAGGCGTCCTGGGCAGACTCTGTGCTACTCTGGGCTGTGATAGAAATGAAAGGTTTCGTGGTAGTTCTGGGTGGGACTGGAGGTGGTGTCTTCTTATATGTTGTAATGCAAGATGACACTGGAAGACAGTGAAAACAAAGACACTGTGATTTCTGCGTGGGTCTTAATTTCTGATATCGTCACTGACAGCCACTGGGAAATTAGGGCACATGAAACACACCGAGACGTTAACACGGGAACAAGTCCATGGACAGACTGAGATCCCTGCTTTGGGGAAAAATTGGGCCTCCCTCCCATGAGGTGACACCGCCACAAAATTGGGGGAATAAAGAGTAGAAAACATCAACCTCTGACATGGAAGTTTCTGGAATGGAATTTAATGTGTAGCAAGGTAAACAAGACGTGATTAGCCCTCTGCAGAAATCCTCCCAGGCAACGATGCCCATATGCACGCGGATATGGCGAGGGTCGCTGCCTCCTCAGGACAACAGTGACACGGCTAATGTCAAACACAGTGACACATCAGAGAAGATTCTAGTGGTTGATAATAAACATGACAAAGAAGAAGGGAAAGCAAAGAGGTTGCGAGGATGTGTACTCTGATCCTAATGACAGGTGTGAGGGGTCATGGGGACCATGGCTGCACTCATAGCACCTCCGCTTGCTCCATCAACACCAGCTCATGTGTTCACGTGTTCAGTCCTTCCTTCTTTCATTTCTTCCCTCCTCCCTGCCTTCCTTCCTGCCTCTCTCTTTCTTTCTGTCATCCTGACTTTCCTTTCTTCCTTCCTTTCCTTCTTTCTTTCCTTCCCTCTCTGTCTTCCCCTCCTCTCTCCCTCCCTTCCTCTCTGCCTTCCTCTCTCTCTGTTTCTGGACAGGTGCTCGTTCCATAAACTTAACACATTGGTGTTCAGCTTCCCGGTTATAGAGAATGATTTAGGAAAATAAAGACCAAAAAAGAATTATTAAGTTTCCTGTCAGTAACAAACAATTTCTTAACCAGCTTTCTGAACCTTTTTATTTAGTCCCCTTAAAAAAAAATGATTCAAATCATTATGTTTCCACCACTTTCTCCCTCGCCCCACCCCCACCCTGTCCACGCCTTCCCCACTGCCAGCTGGCACCGCCGTGGTCCTGTCACATCAGCTAGACCTGGCCACACATCCCCACCTCGTCACCTACGGCTCCAGCTGCCACTCAGGCCATCCTGCTGAATGACACGCTCGCTGCAGTACTGAAGGCGTTTCCTCAGGCCCCTCACACCTTCCCATGAGCAGTAAGCAACGGGATCCTCTGGCGCTGTCCTGCTGACCTACTGCCCTGTGATTTGGAAGAATTTCCTTAACTATAAAAGGGGCAGAGACCGTAATGTTTGGCTACTTCCTAGAGACTGAGAATTGAAGGGACAGATCATGCAAATGTCACATTACAACAGGACATGTACTCTGGAAGGTGCAGGGTGACGTACGTAACACAGATGCAGTCACCTTGCAGTCACCGGATGGAGGGCTGGCAGAGGCTCACCCAGGAAGACCTTCCCCCTAAGCTCGCTGCACGAGACACACGTGTTTACCATGGGGACAGAGCTCAGCGACAAGCAGACCAGCTTCCTTATTTTTTAGCTACGGTGCCCGAGAGGAAATGCGACGTGTGGAGGGCACAGTGCCCACAAGGTGCAGTGTCAGGAGCAGAACCAGCCAGCCCCAGGTTCCTCCTCTAGCCCACAGCTGAGCCTCTGACTCAAGCATGCAAGAACCTGCGATGCTGCTACTTGGCCTGACTCAGCTTAGTTTCTGGCCCCTAAACCACTGTGGGGCTCTGGTTCCCAGACAGTTTGAATGACAGCACCCTGCTTGGAGAATGCTCAGTCTCAGTTATTCACTGGCAGCTCCAGGGTGGGTGGGAAGGGGGCCGGAGCCATCATTAGGACAGAATCTGTCTCTCTATTAGAACCGAATGAAAGGAGATCATTGTATTACTTCTCCTAAGATAAGTCTTTACAATGTGAACTCATTCTTTTGTTCCAAGTGGATTCTCAGGACATTTGGCCCACTCATATTCCAAGGAAGCTAAATAACACATTCCAACATCCAGTGTCTAATCTTTTGGATTATTTATTGCTTCTTGTGAGTTCTCCCCAGTTTCTTCTTGCTGTGAGTGTAATCAAAAAGGGACAATGCAGCGAAATCTGGTGTCGTTTCACTGGCCGTGATATACAGTTAAAATCCTGCTGTTATGTGACAAGTGTGATGACAAGGAGTATGGGAGGCATGGAGGGGTCAGGACACATCATTTCCAATGTTTGACTGCACTTGGGGACCCGAGCCTCCTGTGCGGTCCATGCACACCCCAGGGCCACCTGGTGGCTGTCGTCAGCCCTCTAGTATCAATAGGGATAGCTCTGGGTACCTTGGTCAACAGAGAGTTCCAGTGCAGTGACAGTAACGCTGGAAATGTACTAGCGTGAGGCTGGACAGGGAGAGTAATGGGGACGTGGCTTCTCCAACGGGCTGGGCCAGCCGCCGGCACCCGAAGGAGATAAGAGTTTGAGCTTGCCCCCCTTCGAATAGTGGAGCTGAACAGGGGAACTATCTTCCCTGATGTTATGTCACAGGGGCTTTATCATGAGGTTTTATTGCACCCTCCAGTCATCAAATAGGAACTTAAAAGGAATTCAAATCTTTAAGGGTGACTTTTGAAGGAGAAGAAAGGAGGTCTCAATCATGGCTCACACTTCTCATAATTCTCTCCTTCATTCTCCAATTCTTTTGCAAACTCACTCAACTAAATCCATCAATTTTCCCCTGCATCACTTTTTTCCTAACTCTGCAGGCTAAGCACTAAATCCCTCCTTCTCTCCTAAAGATGTCTTTTTTTTTTTTTTTTTTAGTTCACCTCTCACAATTCAGCACCAGGAGTGATTTAGAAGCCACTGTGAAAGTCTGAGCACCAACAGGCATGTGGTGGGTAGAAGAGAATCAGGCCCAAGGAGTGAGGAGACACAAGTCAATAAATATTGTCTGGTCTAAACAGAAAGAGAAAATGAGAGGCTTATATATAGTAAGTGAAATAATACTTCACTTGTTTAAGAGTAACATTTTCAAGAAAGAATAATTTAAAATGCATGTGGAACTTGAAAAAAAGAAATGTATTTTAATCATTATTATTGTTTCCTTTTGCCTGGATTTGTTTATTTGTTCATTTCAAATAAAATGATCTTTTTTCCTTATGTGGGTCCTATACACTACCCCAGTGAAAACTTGGCTGAAAGGACTCCTGTGCATTTATAAGAAGAGTCAACAGAAACACAGTTGTAGACTTCAGTGACATAATTTTCATTCAGCTGATACTATAAAACACAGAGAGACCGAAGGTTGGTTTTTACATTTGAGTTAAAAAGTTATAAAAGAAAATATTTTAAAAAGATCTTACAGAAAAAACAATTGAGAACCAATTCCTATCATTTCAGCTTCTCGATAACTATTCAATATTGTCTATATTACCATAATAATAATGCTAATAATCCTAATGTTGAAATAATGCTATTGTTGAAAGTCTCAGGAAAGCCAGGAATCATTTTATTCTGTAGTGGTGACAGTTTTGTGACATACGCTCGGGTTATCCTTTGTGATCAAGAGCACACACATACCAGGTGGCCACAAAACAAATGTGAGATCAAATGCACTTTTTGTACCTTTTTATTCCTAAGCTCTTACTGGCTAAACTACATCATGAAGCTATGCAGAGAAATTATTTAGCATTTTCTGGTTACCGGATTTTAGAGATTCTTTCAAATATGAGAGAGCAAGCCCATAAGAAACTACAAATAAAAACACAATACACTGGCCGGGCGCTGTGGCTCACACCTGTAATCCTAGCTCTTGGGAGGCCGAGGCGGGCGGATTGCTCAAGGTCAGGAGTTCAAAACCAGCCTGAGCAAGAGCGAGACCCCGTCTCTACTATAAACAGAAAGAAATTAATTGGCCAACTGATATATATATATAAAAAAATTAGCCGGGCATAGTGGTGCATGCCTGTAGTCCCAGCTACTCGGGAGGCTGAGGCAGAAGGATCACTCGAGCCCAGGAGTTTGAGGTTGCTGTGAGCTAGGCTGACGCCACGGCACTCACTCTAGCCTGGACAACAAAGTGAGACTCTGTCTCAAAAAAAAAAAAAAAAAAAAACACAATACAACAACAAATGAATTAAATCGATATAGACATATTAATAGATACAGCTGTATAGTAGTCAACATCTTTTTTATGTAAACATATTATTGTAAGTCGTTCTTATCAAGCACAAAGCAAGCTGTGCTTTGATCAGCCCTGAGAAGTGGCAGCTTCTATACAGAACTCGCAGTGCAAGTAACTTTGATATGTTGTGAGTTGTATCATATGGTTTCATCTGACCGAGCTGACGACCACCAAAAAGAGAAGGGCTGGCTCAGCTTACTGTCTAATATTTGCTAAGGGCAAAGTTCTCTTGATTTGGTTCAGCTGAACAGTAGTTGCTTAACAAGCCCTCAAAAGGAAGGGCTTTATTAAAAAGTGTTGACAGAGGCGTGCTGGAACTGCGCACGTCTCTTCCCACCTCTGTGTTCAGTCATATTTCCCTGGTAACTTGAAATTGACCTTGGTATATTTACACCACAGAAATTGGCAAATGCTGTAAATCAACAGGTGTCCCAGTACAGAATCCGTTGTTAAGCATTTTCAGCACACCTCTTTGTACAGAGCAGTGCTATTCAAAGTCTGGTCTGCAAACACCCAACTAGCTTTGTGCTGGTTCTAAAACTGTTGCAGTACATGGTAAGATATGCTACTAAAATTGAGAGTAAACTTTTAGAAACTTTTGTAGCAATTTTACAGAGTGTTTTATCAGTTGAGTCCAATAAAAAGAAAACTATGGGCTTGTTTTTGTATGTCTTTGTTCTTTTTATTTCCTTTTTCTAGTTATTCAATTATAGCTTTTTTACCAAAGGATTGATCTGTAACAGATTGAAGATCAAAGGCATGAACTGGTCCCGGACCAGAGATAGTTTGAGAAGCAAGAGAACATTTGAGAACTGAGAACATTTGCAAATCCAGAGAACAGGGCAGAGGGAGCGCAAGGAAGTCT